ACAACAACAATGCCAAACAGATGCAAAGAAACAGCACTGCCAAAATTTATTTGGAATTCAAATCAACCTCTCACAAGATCGTCCCCCACAACGTCCTACAGCACATCCCTGCTATGTATTGAGAATATTTCCCCGATGATAATAACAGAAATGATGATGTCATCATTGGGAGATGTTTCCAATACACTGCCTGGATATGTTGTGGTACGTTGTGAGAAGCAATCTTGTGGGCTGATTTGATCTCATTTATTTGGGCATCGTCGTAAGAGGTATAATTGTCAAAATTTACTTTTAGAAATTAAAAATAAGCAAATTTTAACGCCATTGGTTAAGATCAGGTTTTAACATTCAGCCAATATTAATAAATGCGAATTCTCAATTATTTCCTTCGTTTTTTTCTTTATCTTCTTCTTCTTTCTTGAGCGATCACGGTTTATAAAGCTCAATAGTTTTTGTGATTAGTTGTTTTTGATTGTCAATTGGTGTTTTATTTCTCTTCAATTTTTGGTTTATTCCTTTTCTTTTTCATTTTGAGTTTTTTTTTTTTTCCATTCTCAAGCCTTTTACTTTATGATCCCTCGGTTATCGTAAAAGTCTTTTCTTTGATTCAAGATAGATACAAGTGTTTGATATCTGTGGCTTCTTAAGTAAAGATGATAAAAAGAAAGAGATAAATAGAGAAACTTGTTGGGATGCTAAGAATCTGCCAAACCAACCAGAATGAAAGACAAGGGATGATGGTGGGACAGGAGAGAGGATGGGGTAATAAAAAAATTCAGAACCCTAGATGGGTTGATTAAAAGTCGATAGCTTCTCCTTTCTCAAAATAATCAAAGAGATGAGGTAGTCTCTTTTCGTACAACTTCAAGTACTTTCTGTCTGGCTGAAATATTTTCTTTCTGCAATTTATAGGGAAATAAACACAACCAGATGGTACAGGACAGGAGTGAATTTCACTCTGAAGTCTCAGCTATTCTTTACTCTTGGAAGGGTGAAAACTCTGCCTTTTGCTCCTAGCTATGACACTGAGATGTGTTTTCTGCCTCTTTTTACAATGGAAACAGAAGCTGTTCTATCATCTATGTGGGCTTCTGCTATCTCTTTGCAGGGTGACATATTGTTGTTTAGCCATGTGGAGGAACGTGTGGGTCAATCTGGGATCCTCAAAAGATAGAGATCCTTTTGGATTAACCACTTGTTCAATTCTTCCATTAACATCAATTCTATGGTCCACTATTTATTTTGTTGTGGAGTTTGTAGCATCAAACATTTGAAATTTGAAAAATTCAAGTACCCAACAGGAGGAAACAGACACTTCTTAAACCATCATCAGAACTTCTGAACATTACTGGGGAACTTCTGTAGCACATTTCTTTATCTCTGTACCAAAAATAAAAACTAGATAGAAGTTATTTCTTTATCTCTGTTCACAGATCCAAATGTAACAATGTATATGTAAAAAGCATGTGAAGCCATGTTGTTTGGTCAAGCAACATTTCATCTATCACATGTTAAGAACATAGATGAAACAGATTCCAAACTGGTTTGATCAAGCAACAAACATGATCTTTTTTTTAAGGATCCTTTTTATGCTTGTAATTCTCTTTTCTATAGGCTTCTTAAACGTGAAAGCTGAAGTGGCAATATATATATAAGCTGAGTACAAATTAGCTGTTCCACATGGAAAGAAAGAGAAAAACTTTTTAGGTTGTGTATTGTACCAATCAATACAAACCAGTTACAGAGATTTTTTTTTTTTTTTTTCTGCTTGAAATGTTTGGGATTGATAAATGCAAATTGCTATTTTTACTTGAAACGTCTTTAGTTTAAACATTAATGTCAGTTCTACACGTCTTTTTCTAACTTAAATGGAACTCGTGCGATGTGACAAAATATTTCTCACCAATTTGCATTCACCAACCCAAAACATTTCAGTAGAAATAGCAATTGGTGCCGAACATAACCTTAGTGGGTGTTTTGGCATCGGAGCGTTTCACAAGCGTTCCATTTTTGTTGATGCGTTATATATGCTACATCAGCAATTGAATGGAATCAGCAAAAAATCTCATTCGGCAATCCTGCTTTTCAAAGAAAAGCGTTTTTGCAATGATTAGTTTCGGGATTCAGGAAGGGTTTCTTGAATAGCCAGATTGACATTTCTTGAATCGCTTTTTATGTATTTAAAGAAAAACAGATGAAAAAAAACACTTGTAAATCAGAAATACTTAAGAAATGCTCTAATGCCAAACACCCACTTGTCTCCCAAATTGGGCTTAGATGAACACAAGTTGACCCATTTTGAATGAGTTCTGCTACTGTAATTATGATCTTATATATATTAGCTGACTCCAGATCATATATTTAAAAACTAGGGTGCAAGAGTACATCAAGAATAAAAAATGTGAACCAGTGAGAAAACAATACACCACAGTTGACATCTTTGATATTATTGAAGTTTTGGTGGTAAGTATACTGAAACTTAAATCGATGAAAAAACAAGTAAATCAATGATATGATGTGGTTAATGTAATTGGTTGAAATCTTAATGTTAAATAGCTATTGATAGTTGGAAGTATTTGAGTCCTCTTTCAAATATAGTACTTCAATTTTGTCCTCAAAATAAATAAAACATTAATTTCTTTTATCTATAGCATCTTTAGACTCTGGTACTCTCTACTGCTGTGAATGATCTGGGTCTACCTGATAAGGCTGAACCGATCCGACCCTGTACACATGGATTCAGAATAGAGTATCGGGTCAGACCTTGTAAACCCAATTAATAATATTAATGGGTATGGTTCTGGATTTATCAAGGACCGGGTTTTGGGTTTTTCATTCTGATTGGGTTAGGACTGAGTCTACCCCTGACCAATTCCCTAGTACTGCCGTAGTACTCTTTACTCCTCTCTTACAATTCAACTTTTATTAGTTTTTTTTTTTTTAATTTAGACGATATATATTTTTAAAATAGCTGTTTTTGGAATATCTCGTTTTTTTATAAATTCAACAAATCCTAATCAGAAAACTTACCTACTACTTGTAAAGTTGTAATGCTTAAAAAATTAATACAACAGTTTATTTTTTCTTTTAAGACATGTTTGAAATAATGAAAATGAGTGTGCCTCCTTTATAGAATTGGATTTGCCCCAATTATTTCCCTTTTTGTTAGAAAAAAGGGTAAAAATAATGAGAAAACAAAGAAATAAATTAAATAAGTTATAGTGCCCTTCATGTGCAAGTGAAGGGCTTCACTAGTTTATATTTCAAATAATTAATAAAAGTCCAATAAGGCTAGTGATTTTGTTGCCACCTTGTTTAACAAAAAGAGCGCACATAATTAGTCACACGTATGGTTTAAAATGACAAAAGTAGCCTTTATCTAGGGGTGGATACAAACCAATATTTCCACAAATTATTTGAGCTTGGTAAACACAATTTGGCTACATCTAAATTGAGTTTCGAGCTGAGTTCAAGCCTAATATATAGGTACATTTGCTAATTGAGCTAAAGTCAAGCCAATGAAGTTTGGTTCGTAAAGTTTGCGAGCCTAACTGAGTTTATATTATATATTAATATTTTTAATTTTTATATGTATAATAATAAACAAATTTCATATTTATAATTATATATGTATATAATTTTTTGTATGTAAACATTTTTATTTTTTATATGAAACTTGGCCCATTATCAAGCCGTAACTTGTCTCATTTGGAACCTAATCAAGCTTATATTATATATAATAATTTTAATTTCTATATGTATAATAAGAAATAATTTTTATGTAAATTATATAATTTTTTATTTTTTATATGAAACTTGGCCCATTATCGAGCTCAAGTCGAGCCAACATATTTGCTTTCTGAGTCGAGCCAAATTTGAGCTATGATCTCTAGCTTGAGTTGAATTTGAACTTGAACTCGAGTCTCATGTTTTTCTGTTAAGCCAAGCTCGAATAACCAAATATTCAGCTTAGCTCGGCTCAAACCCACTCCACCTTTATCCAATGACTTTTATTATTTTCAATAAATTATTTTTTTGTCTTTTCATCTTCATAAACTTCCTTTTTATCAAAAAAAGGGTATACCCAAATTCCAACAATTCTTATTTGTTCTGACATAGCAAATTGAGAAGTTCAGTCCAATCTGATTCATAATTGGCCCTCCAAATCCAAATCAAGCTGTTAATTTAACTGAAAATGTAGGAAAAACAATCAAAGGGGAAAAACTGTTCTAAATCTGACATTAGTTGAGGCAAACAAACGATTTCAAATTGACTGTAGGGTTGTAATAACTCCACCTAATTTTAGGGTAATTTGGTTTAATGCTTGAACCTAACCCATAACCACCCAGTTCAATTAAGATCATCCAGCTTGATCCTGCGTTTAGAGAAGCGGATTTGGAAGAGTGGATTGATAAAGAGTTGTGAGCTAGGGATTGATTCACTCTGAAGGGATTCTTGATTAACTGCAATCAAATGACATCGTTAATCCACCATCACTGAAATGAATGAATCTAACATGCTTGTAAGTTTAGTAAATTGACAGCCTAAAACTTTGCTAACCAATCTCCGGAATGGAATGAATCCAAAGTCCAAACCCCCCCAACTAATTAGTTAGGAATAGGAATGGAAACCTGTTATTTTCGACAAATTGGGCTTATAAACCATGGGCCCGGCCCATCCGGACCGGACTTGTGTCTTCAAGAGATTGCACAGTAGGCATTAGCCGACATGAAGGAGGAAATCCTAATGACATTAGCAACTGCTCTGGATTGGCAATGTCAGGCCCCCATGTGGCCCAGAATCCCTGGCATTTCAATATTGGAAACTGCTTCTCTCTCTCTCTCTCCAATTAATTAATTTTCTTCTAATTAGGATTTAAGGAGAGATTAATTAATATGAAATGCAGATTAATTGCATAGTGGGCCAACAGTTAACAGTGAGATTATGATATTTAGAAATTAGAAATGGAAAGTTTAGATTAAGAGCGTTGTTGCTTTATTAAAAGGTTTCTTCACGGTCCATTATTCTCTCTCTTTCTCTCTCTCTGCATTCGATTCGGACCTGCAAAAAGAGACATTGCAAGAAGATTTCTCTGTAAATTTACGGAACACGAAAAAGCGCACGTATGCATGATCAACCGTCGATTTGGTTAGTTTTTCCCTTTCTTTTTCTTCACTTGTATTTCTCCTTCTTTATCTACTCCTGTTTTTCTTAAATTTTCTGAATTTTAGAGGTCCCTTTCTTTCTCCCCATCTTTTCTTCTTTCTTCTCACTTCTAAATTGCTCGTTATTTTCCCCGTTTCTTGGTTTTCTTGATCAAGGTAGGGAGATGTAACGTCGCTAAATTCTTGAATTTTCTGTTTTTTTTTTTTCTTTTCCCTCGGTTTCTGTTGTTGTGTTTTGCGTTGATGTCCTCTCTGTTCGTTACTGATCATTTAAACAAGAATCCAACATTTATTTTCTGTTGCAGACAGGCTGGTCGAATTTCTTCGTTAAATAATATCTATTTGGAGAACTGAATCCTCGATCAGGAGTGCGTAGGTATCTATTTTATTCTGTTATCTCTTGTTATTTTGAGGATCTGGGTTGCATTTGTTGGAACAACGGAGAAGGGTTTGATCAAGGACAAATTCATGATAAAAGGTATTTTTTTCCTCCCTTTTAGGTCTTGTCTTCTGTTTCTACAGTTTGTTATTATGGGTTCCTTTGGTTGGATCGGATCAACTACCATTCCTCTAGCAACATCATGATTACCGTAAAAAAGGAACAGGGGAACAGAGAAAAGAAAAATAAATAAATAAAGTAAAAGAAGGATATCACCTTCCCGTCTACGTTGCCCCCTTTTTACTAGAAGTATGTTTCTCTTGCAATTGTGCGCTCAACGTTAGTCTTCTGAGAAATTTTGGCGTTTTACTTCCATTTTTTTTTATGCATGGTTGCCATTTGACCCAATTTATTTCTCTTCATGTGTGCGTTATAGCAGACTATTGTTTTTCTTTTCCCGTTCTAGTATGAGTTGGTTATTTTTATTGGTTTTTTTTTTTTTTTTTGATTGGGGATGAACTTCAATTTGTCTGGAACTAAAATATCACCCAGGAACATAGTTGGTAATTCTTATTCATGTTCTACTTTTAGAAGCCTTGTCTGGCATGTAAATTTCACCTTATTTCTTTGTAGTTTTAGAAACTGGTCATCGTGGAAATTGTTTTTACATATTCAGTATATGAAAAGTAATTAGAAGTTGGAAATACAAAGGACCGTTTACGTGTGTGTGTGTGTGTCTAGAGTCCCTCTTTGTCAAGTACTTTTATTGAACTTTAATTGTACTGAATCCAATAAAAAAACTTTAATTGCATTGAAGTCGAACTTATGTGTTGTTAGGGCTTTAGAGTCCCTCTTTGTTGCATTCAAATTGGTTTGTGACTTTTATGGTCTATAGATCGTAAGTCCAAAACCTTCATTGCAACTCTTCCTTCTATTTGAGACTTGTGAAGTCCAAGTATTATGATGGAGAAGTTGGATGTTTGTATCAGACTAACACTTGTGTATATCATGCCCATTCCTTGGGCATGGTTTGCATAATAATTTGTCAAATTTAGCCAGACAAAAAATTTATATTTCTTCCGGTTGATTCCTTCTTTTAGACCTTTTAGGAGATCAATATGTTTTCCTTCATGTTTTTATTACCTCTGATGGTGGCTGCTTTTTTATGGTAGGGAAAATTAGGGCTCTACCTGACATTTCATTTTATTAGCAAAATTCCACTTGGGCAGATTCCATACCATGTCAGGCAACATAGATATAATAAGTAGGGCTCTCTCTCTCTCTCTCTCTCTTTCCCCTCTTCCCTGGATCTCTGTTTTACTTTTGGCTATTTATTTGGTCGCTTCCTGCTTCTATGAGTCCACTTCCAATGGCAACAATGCAATGTTACCCATTTCATATTGATCTCTGCCTTTAATCTTTTTTCTATACTGAACCTCTCAAATATATCTTTACGTATATTGTAGTTTCAATGGGTGTATTCTCCTGTTAGCAAGCATTTTTTTTTTTGTCTTGGTTCAGATCAATAGTTAATCAGCATAAATTAGAGGTCTATTTTATTCTTGTGCATTTAGTGGATTATTGGACTCAAGACAATGCATCTTTTATTCTATGCAAATTTTCCAAGTATGTGGGGATATTTCTTCTTCCTTTTCAAGAAGAGCATGTGGCATCTAAGAAATCCTGAAGATTTTTCTTTTCAAGGTGCCCTGTTCTTCATGGCAGCAAGAAGGAAAAGATATTTTGGAGTTGTTGGAGCATTTGGAAGGAAATAAATAGAAGAATTTTCAATTTCAAACAAAAAACGAGTGACTTTTGCTGAAAATAGGAAACATAGTGCTGGATTTCATATTGATCTTACCAGATTTTTCTAATGTGCGAAGTGATTTGTTTGGAAATGATTTTTGGACCCCTTTTGGAGATGCCGGGACAGTCCTTTTGATTTGTATCTTTGAGTTTTTGTGTCCATGTTTTGTTTTTATGTGTCAGACCAGTCAGGGTGTTGCCTCATCACCTTCTTGTTTCTTCTATGCATCTTGAGCTTTTTACTTTAATAAAGCTCCTTTTTTGGTTTTCATCAAAAAGAAAAAAAATTGGGACCATCCTGGACTCTTCATTTTACACCAAGTACCTGTGCAAGACATGAGACAAAGTGGGATACATGCTTTGGATCTGCCAAATCCATGTCTATGTTTAATATTAAGTTTTAATGGATTGGGTATATATCAACTTAATTGGGAAAACACTTGGAATAAATTATCAACTGGTATGCTTAACATAAATACTAAAATTAGAATTTGAAACTTTAAATGTATGTAATGCTAAACCAAGAATGTCCCTTAAACCTCACAAAATGTGGATTTTTTATGCACTATTATGATTTTTAATTGTCATGTTACAATTTGATCCATTGTTTCCTTCTTTTGTTGTTGATACTTCCTATTTTTGGATACCGAGAATGAAGACATCTTATTTTCATGGTTAGAAATTAATATCTATCATCCAATGTATGATCATATAATGTGCCCATACCCACATCTGATTCCATGTAACACAGAAGCCAAAGATATGGGACGTCATCTAAATGAGGGAAGAGAAGTGGTGCTTTGATTAACTTCTATGGTCTCTCATTTTTTATTCTAAGTTGCGCAGTCACCCATAGTATTCAGTTGATTATTTTGTGTTTTCATGTTTCATCTGTTTTTATCATATGATTGAGTCGATGTAGCTTTTGACTTACTTGTTCTGATTTTGTTGGATATTAAAAAACCACGAGGGACTAAGCCTCTACTAGAGAAGGAGTTACATTTTAATAACGTTAAATTTTAATGTCATCTGTGTATATGTTTTGCTTGTTTCTTATATGTTGAGCGCATTTCTTGCATATGTCTGTGACTTAATGCAGGCATCGTTGGCTACCATAATTTATCCAACAAACATGGGACAAAGAAATATGATTTGTAGTAGTCAGATTCTTGATTTGGAAATGGATCAACGTGGCCAGGGCCAGCTCCAGCTTGAGCCCTGTATTCTTATGGGGAATACTATTGATTTTACACACCATAATGTCAATCCACTGTTGTCAGCTTCTTGGAACATGTTTAATCCTAATCTCCATCATCTGCCAGATCATCACGATAACAGTGTAATTTATGGGACTCAGTATAACATTCATCCTATTCACCACCCTCTTGCAAACCTTGATTTTGGTCTCTCTGCTGAATCAAATTTTTACAATCCATACATGATCGCTTCATCTGATGGTAGAATCTGCCACACTTCACTAAATCATGGTTCTACTGATCAGTTGCCTTCTTCCAGCAATCATGGAATAAGTGGAATTGGTGTTGATGAATATGATAGAATTGATAACTCCATGGATGATGCTAGAGGTTCATTCAAGAGAAAGACTGCAGAAGGGATTCCAGGAAACTACCAACATGTTAATGGTGCGACAAGCTCAAGTTCTGCTTCTTTGGGTGCTACCTTGAATACAGGGCTGCAGCAATGGGAAGAACAGTTCAGACCTGTATCTGGCATGTTAGATGCTCGCTCTCTCAATGTACCGGAGTATAGAGGGAATGAGGTTGTGCCTATTGTGGAAGGAGTTAGGAGAAGTGTGAGGAGCAGATCAGGTCCTATTGGTCTTCAGCTGGATCCTACTCTGGCACATAATCATGGCCATTTTCTTCAGGGGAATCACATCACTCGATCATTTCATCCAGCCAACAATCCTTGGATGGAAGAACAGTTTGGGAGCAATACTGGAGATAGAGGCGTTTCCACCTGGAACTGTGCACCTACTTTTCCTTATTTGCATGGTAGACTCTTCAACCCTTCATTTCTTCAGTAAAGACAGTTTGCATCACAAACAATTTATTGTCATGTAGCCCTATGAGTTTTGTTGGTATCCTAATCATGTTTTGATGTTTTTCTCTTTTAAATATTTAAAGCTGTAAATTTAAGTGTAAGTAAAAAACTCTCTTGGTTTACTTGCAGGAAGGAATATAAATGGAGGCTCTGTGGAGATAGGGAATGCCATTAGACAGGGATACCAGGAGGCATTAAGCAATAGAAGTTCTGCACTTCTTTTTTATCCTTCTCCTATGAACCCTCACCACAGCCAGCAGTATCATGATAATCATCAGCATCATCACTACCACCACCACCAATTGCCTCCAACTATGCAAGGTCTGCGAGGACATAATTATGGTTACCACCATCAATTACCACCACCTTCATATGTGCATCCATCAAACAGCACCTTGCTCCATAGCAGTCTGAATCCTTCTCATGATGATATTGTGACAGGGCCTACGTATCAGAGGCCCTTTCTACCCACTGGATTTAGGATATATCGGCCTAACCGAAGAGTACCTCAGGCTGCTACAGAAGAGGGAAACAGACCCCGCGTGAGAATTGTTTCAGATAATGTAATCTTTTTCTCCTTTCTGTTACATGAATGCCTTTTTTTTGGGCTAGACCATCTTTGCTATTTTAAATAGTTCTGCTGTTTTATCCTATGTAGAGTAAAATAGAAATATGCCACTACTTTTTTCAAGGATATATTCATATTAGGGTGTGACTATGATATGGAAAAGATATGATATCTGAAAATTTTCTGACCAATCAACTGGAATCATAAACGTGGTAGCTAATTAGGTGTTATTTATCAAAATTCATGGGTGGGCTTTGATTGGTCAAAACTCTTCCCATATCATATCTTTTCCGTATCATAGATTTTCCCTTCATATTAACTGGCAATCGACTTTTATTTTGTAATGCATACAGGATGTTGCTATACTCGAGTTTCAAGGCTTTGGAGATTTTATTGATCATCATAGTGATATGCGGTTGGATATAGATCATATGTCTTACGAGGTAAGTTAAAGAATGAACAAACACAATCACCCAATAAGAAAAAAAAACCAGGAGCATTTTAAGCACTTGAATCATTTTGAATTGTCAAATCTTCAACACCATAGTAACAAATTTTAATTGAACATCTCAACTACAGGAGCTACTTGCCTTGGAGGAACGGATTGGTGATGTTAATACTGGATTGACAGAGGAAACCATCACAAGGCAACTGAAAACAAGAACTCACGTTTCTTCAACAGTCTGTTTCAATTTGGATGAGCCAGCAAACATGGATCAGGATACTGCAACCTGTATTATATGCCAGGTAGTGATATTATCATTTGCTCATGTAAAGTTGCTTATTTCCAATATATGTATGTATTTATGTATCAAGGAGCAATAGTGTGAGTGATTGTTTGTGTTTGCAGGATGAGTACGAGAACCAGGAGAAAATTGGCACGCTCAGTTGTGGACACGAATACCATGCAGTTTGCATAAGGAAATGGCTGTTGGTGAAGAATGCATGTCCCGTCTGCAAGACTACAGCTTTGGCTGTAGAAGGCAAGGATTGATAAGAGGGGAATTCCCAGTCTTGTTCTGTTTTGTACATATTGATACTGTTACTGGTTAGACCATTCATTATCAGCCCTCAGAATGTGGGGGAAACTCTCTCTCTCGAACTGTACAAAAACTCATTCAATATTCATTCATACACTGCAGAATGAATCTACAGTGAACTAATAATATTGGAAGGATTTGCTTGGATATATTTCCTTGTTTCTGTTACGACTGTGGAAACTCTCTTTATCTTTAACAAAATATAGGAAATCTATAGAGGATTTGTGTAGTTATTTTGACGCGGTGCCAATTTATAGGGAGGGACCATCTCTCGTATGGGTTGTGATTGTGATTTTTGGTTGATGATGCAATCTTGGGATACATGGTCATGTAATGGTTATCTTATAATTTTGGAAGCTGGCAGCCACGCTCTCTCTCTCTCTCTCTCTCTCTCTCGTTAGATTAATCTAAAGTATTCACTTTTTCCAACATAAAGAACAGTGTTGGTCTGAAAATTTTTTTTGGGTGCAAAATTCTGCCACTCAGGTGATGCTCATGGGGCTTGCATTAACTAAAGAACATGCCATAATAAACATTGGAGTCATATAATTAGGGCTGTCACGGGTTGTGTCTGGGTCAGTTCCAGGTAGAATCGGTCTTGAACCGATAATAAAAAATATGTAGGTCCCGGAATTGAACCAGGGTCTATTTCTAGACCCTGAACTGAACCGATCGATTCTTGGGTCCACCGGGTCCAACCCAATTATAATAAACCTGCTGGAGAGAGAAATAGTAGGGATTGTCCAGAGAGAGCATAAAAAATATGGAAAAACAGCTGCAGATGGTTGAAGTGGTTTGGGGCCTTCCGGTGGTGACTGTTTGGTTGAGGAATAACGAAGAGAGAGAGAGAGAGAGAGAGAGAGAGCAATAGGTGTTCGGTCTCTGAAAGTTCAATTGTTTTTACCTTTTAGTCTCTTGAACGGTTGAACCAGCTACTATCTATTTAAATACTGACCTATTTCGTGTTGTATGCAAAACAAAATTTGTCATATTAAACAAAAGCGAGTACAATAAACAAGTATTTTAACCGGTCAAAAATGAATCATTTTTCTATCTAGGTGGCGGGTTAGCAATTCAACCATTGGGGTCAAATGGGTATGCTATAGTCAAAAATAAAATATTTTAAAATAGAAAAACCCAATATATGAAAAAAATACAAAAAATTATAAAAAAAAATTTAGCATGATAAATAAGAATTATTTTATTAATGATAAAATGAAATGCAAATTTTAAAATCAATTGGAAAACAAGACTATTTGCATATCTAGGTGGCATGACAACAGTCTAATTTTTTTGTGTCAAATGGGTCAACTAATGATGTCAAATGTAAGGGTGTCAATGGACTGGTTTTGGATTGGGCCCCGTCCAGTCCAAAATCATTTTGGACAGATTGGACGGACCAACAAGACATATTGGATTGGATCAATCCGGTCCAAAATATTTATTAGATTGGATTGAACCTGGTCCGTCTGTAATAAATTTATATTGGATTGGGTTGGATTAAGTCATTATCTGGTCGATTGATATAAGATAAGAATATGTGTCAATAAATCGGGTTTGGGTTGAACATTCTAAATCAAAATAAATTTGAACAGATTGGACGGTCCAAACATTGAATTGGACTGGTCCAAAACATTCATTGGACTGGATTGGACCTGGTCCATTATATATTTATAATGCACTCTCATTGGACTGGATCAGATTGGACCAAATCCAATCCAATTGACACCCCTAGTCAAATGATTATCTCTAATTCCTATTTATCATCTCCCCTACTTTTTATCCATATCTATCTAAAGAAAGTTTGGATTAAAAAATTAAGAATTATTTAAATATTCTAACAAAATTATATAATAACTTTAAAAATATTTATTAAAAACACCAAAAAAATATATTTTTACAAAATATATCACGAAATTATGTACTAACAATTTAAATAATGTTTTTTTACTAATTATCAATTTAAATGTTTTTCAAATATTTAATAATATGTAATAGCTTTAAATAAATAAAAATAAAATTATGTAAATATTGTATAGATTATTTAAATATTTAAATAACTAAATATTTATCATAACTAGATTTAAATAGTTAAAATAACGAAATTATATAATAAATTTAAAAAACTTCATCAAAGTAGAAAAATGCTTATAACATAATATTCAAATTATTAATAATTTAATATATTATAAAATTAATAATGAATTTATGTAATATATATATATATAAACAAGGAAGTCTAGAAATTTTCTCTTTTTTTTTAATTTTTAATTTTTTTTAATTCCAAGTCATTTTTTAAACAACCAATAAGATGCACATTCCCAATAACCTAAATAATCTATTCTCCTAAAATTACTCCTAAACTATCTCCCCCACTTTCTCCAAAATCATCTCTAATTTAGTAGAGAGTTTCTCTCCTAAATTATCTATAATTCCTATTTATCCTCCCCTACTTTTTATCTATATCTATCTAAAGAAAGTTTGGATTAAAAAATTTAAAAATTATTTAAATATTCTAACAAAATTTTAAAATAACTTTAAAATATTTATTAAAAACACAAAAAATATTTTTTATATTTTTACAAAATATATCACAAAATTATGTACTAACAATTTAAATTATGTTTGACCATATTTTCAATTTAATTTTTTTAAAAATATTTAATAATATGTAATAGATTTAAATAAATAGAATTCAAATAACCAAAAAAATTAAATATTTTATAGATTATTTAAATATTTAAATAACTAAATGTTTATCATAACTATATTTTAAATAGTTAAAATAACGAAATCATGTAATAAATTAAAAAAAAATTCTTCAAAGTATACAAATAATTATAAAACAATATTTAAATTAATAATAATTTAATATATTACAAAATTAATAATTAAATAATGTAATAATAGTATAAATTATGACTTTGTGGATAATTAAATTCAATAAATATCTAGTATTTTAAAATTTAAATATTTTACATACTATTTAAGTATTTAAGTAACTAAATATTTAACATAAATATATTTTAAATAGTTAAAATAAAGAAATTATGTAAAATTTAAAAAATCTAAAATATAGAAAACTAATTATAACATAATATTGAAATTAATAATAATTTAATATTTTTGCATAATATTGTAAATAATTAACTTTACTTATATCAAGTAATAATTCGAGAAAATAACTTTCAAAAAATTAATACTTATTAATAATAATTTTAAACTCTTATTCTGTATTTATTATATAATTATATGTACTGAAATTAATTATTACTGTCTATTGTGATAAATGTATTTTCAATTATTATGTTTAAATTTATTTTGTTTTGTTATTTAATAGAAAACTTTCAATAATTTTGGAGATTAAATTACTATTATTTAAAATTTTAAATTTAATTTGTTGTACTTATTGTATTTATTGTATTTTTGTTATAAGTTATTGATTAATATTAAATAGAGATTAAACTATTATTTGAGATTATACCATTTATTGACTAAGTTAATATATTTTTAGTACTTATTGTATTTTTGTAATTTCTATAATTATTGTATATTTCATTATCAATATATTTTCAATAATTGTGTATTTTTGCTATAAATTTTCAATAATTATTGGAGATTAAACTATTGTTATTTATCAGAGATAAGGCTATTAATTTATTTGAAATTATGAGTGTTCATGAGTTGGTTTGGTTTGGTCATAGGCTGTTTGGCCAACCAAACTTTGTCAGGTTAGAGAGTTGGTTAGCTAAAACCAATTAACCTTTTGTCAACCCACTCAAGTTGTACCGGTTTGGGTCAATTTTTTGATTTGGTTAGTCTGTTCAAAAGATTTAAACTTAAAAATTTAATTTAATTTTAAAAATTACAGTTCAATTATTAAATAATAAATTTAAAAATTAGATTTATGATATGAAACATTTTAGACTAAGAAATATGGGAAAATTTCCACTTTTTCATATTAAAAAGTAGATTTAAAATATAAAATATTAATATATATCCATGGTTAGGTCATTTGATTTTGGTCGGTTTACAAATGGCCAAAGTGAAACTAATCCAACTTGGTTGAATTGGGAAAATTTTGAACCAAAGCCAACCTAAAATACTAGAAAATTGACCAACTCGGGTCGAGTTAATCGGGTTGGTCAGTTTCATCAGTTTGATTAATAAACCTAATTAAAATTAATTATTGTTATTTTTTGAGTTATAAAATGTTATTAAAAGTAGTATATAAAATATGAGTAATTATTAATTATTTAAAAAGTTGAAAATATAAAACAATTGTATACTCTTATGTGTTTTATTAGGGTCATTTATTAGAACACACTTTTAGGGATGGCAATTTTCCCCATCCCTCACGGGGAGTCGACTTCCCCGACCCGATGGGGATTGTTTTGGCGGGGCGGAGGCAGGGATGGGGATTAATAGGAATCCCCTATTGAGGTCGGGGATGGGGATTGAGGTCCCCACCCCACCTTGACCTCGACCCCGATTATATATATATATATATATATATATATATATTAAATATACTATTATATTATTTATATTATATATATTTCAAAACATTATTTATAATTTAAAATTTTTATTTATTTTAAAAAAAATACTGTTGTTTAAAAACATTTTGAGGTTTTGGGTCCCTATGGGGAACCCATCCCCGTCGGGGATAAGGGATGGGTGTTATTTCAGAATCGGGGTCGGGGACAAGGAATATGATCCCCACCCTATTGTCATCCTTACACACCTTATAGTTTACATATTTACTTAAACCTACCTTATAGTTTTCATTTTACTAAAACATCCCATATATTTTACAACTTATTTACTTAACCAACATTTCATTAAGGATTGTTTGTTTTGCCATTAGGCCCATGAATTTTTATTCCAAAAATACCCCTAATACTTTTTTTTTGTATAAAAAACAAAATTGATCAAATATAGCCAATAGAGTGGTTGCCCGTGTCTTATTAAGGGAAAATGATATTTTTATTTTCTTTTGATTAAATTTATTAAAATGAACATTAGGGTCAATATTGTCATTTTCCACTATCATTTAATGGAAGATTGATTAAATCTATTACAAATTATAAATTAGTGTTTTAGTAAAATGCTAACTAAATGGTAGATTTTAGTAAATCCATGAAACTATAAGGGGTATTTTAGTATATAACCCTTTCTATTATTTAGCTTTCTCTTAATAAATCCCATGCATTGCATGGGTCTCCGCTAGTAAAAAAAATAAAATTATAACTTATAAATTTTATGAAAAAATTGAACAGGTTTTTGATGTAATATATTCTTCATATTAAACAAAAATATGTTTAACAATGAGGATAATTATTATTAAAAATGGAAATTGATGAAAATACAAAGAAAAAGAAATTTAATATATCCTAACTTGATCAAATAGGTCAACGATTCAACTAGCAAGGTCATTTGACTATGAACAAGTCAAGGTTTTTTATTTATTTTTTCTTAAAATAAAGTTGTTTGGGTTGAAAGGAAAAAATCTCACCAGTACATTATACTTTGATTATTTTTGTTACATGGGTTATGATAAAACTTGAAATTTATTATTGTTCTTGTTGTTGTCATCATTGTTATCATTATCATTTCATATTACCTTGTGCAACGTATGCACATTTACTAGTTAATAGTGAAAAGTAAATATATTTATCTTCTTTTGATGCTCCGTTTTTCATGTGCTGGTGCAAAGCTGAAGCATAGGATAAATTAAAAAAGTCATGAAATTGGAACTTGTTTTTTCTGGAGTTGATCTCCATTAATCCATTTAATTGAAGGCCTACCACCAAATAAACCATAACCCTTGTATTATTGTTCCCTATATTTGGGGATGTTTTCCATTTTTACCCTTTCCTCTATCAAATTATATTTACTTCTAACTCTAAGAGATGGTACGTGTAAAGAAAGCGTGGGCAAAATTCTTCAAAGTTGAGGAGATGAGTGGAGATTGGAGAAACACATGAATTGACTAATTTGTTAGGAGAAAGACCATTATCTCGTGCTCTAACGGCTGTGTTCGGTTTGAAGGAAAAGGTGGGGAAAAGAAGGAAAACCTGTATATGTACGAGTTTCTCTTCATTTCACTACCTTTTCCTTCAAACCAAACACAACCTTAAGGCGTTCAATATTCTTAGGATGGGGATCACCCATTAACAAGGACATGATAAGATGTAGAAATTGATTTCACTATTCATCTAATCCACTATCAAACCTTTTTTAATCCACTATCAAACCTTTTTCTTTATCACCTTCTAGGTGATGGTCTCACTGGCCTGCAATAGTCCATTTTCATTTTCATGTTGACTTTAACATTCATCCATAACCATCTCCATCTTTATCTCCTTAGTTTGCGTTTGATTAATCTGTAGGAAGGCAATTCTTTTCTTTTCACATTTGATCTGTAAAATGTCATGAGATAGGATAAAAAGTAATTGGGATTATAGCTCTCAAATTTTGGGAGGTGGGGTTCCACCATTTTAGTATAAAAAAAATTCAAATTTTAGCAAAACCCCAACCTGAGCCCTCTCAAGTTGCAGCCCTGGATACAAAGTACTTTTATAAAAGAAAAGCACTTTCCTTCTTGTTGGAACTTGGAACTACGATTGCCACTAGTTTCCTTGCATAACCAAACAATGAAATGTGAAATCTTTAGGCATAGTTTTTTTTTTTTTTTCATCCCATCCCATCTCATTCCATCCTTTTTCCATATATGAGAATCTTTTTATGAACCAAATACAACCTAATAATGTTAATATTTAGATACCTTGGGAAAATTATCAAAAATTTGGTTTCCCAATTACAGAAATGTTCTTTTTACTTTTGAGTAGTTGGACGATGCCAAACAAAACTATATATCTAGCCTATGAATTAAGATTTTGGTAATGCTATTATACACAATTGCCATGGCTGATAGTTCTAAAGAGGCCGGCAATGTTTGAAGATAAGACCTAGCTATTTGTGTAGGTTTAGAAGGATCACTGTGGCTTGTAAGCTCTATTAGGGGTGTAATTAGGCAGAGTCGAGTCGAGTATTAGGCTGTTTGAGCTCAACTTGACTCAAAAGTTTGGAGCTCGAAACTAGCTCGAATCAATATTGATCAACATACTCTCAAGTACTGACTCAACTAGACTTGACTTGACTTGCTTATGAGATGCTTGAAAATTATAAATAAATTAATATTAAAAATATTAAAAAACTAAATTATAAACTTATTTATTTATATTATAAACAAAAATATATCAAAAAATTAATATTTTATTATATACTCAATTAGGCTAATGGGCACTCAAGCTGAGGAGATTGGCTTCTGTCAATGCAAAGTCTGTCTGAATAGTTCCATACTTACGTATTTTATTTTATGGAGAGATATTTCCGATGCAAGATTACAAAAAACTGTCCAAACAGTATAAATATGGGCTTGTACTGACCAAAGCCAAACTCCAAAACTGAATTTTATAAAGCTTGAACTTGACTCAACTAACTGTTCTAACGTACTCGAGCTTAGCTTGAAGCTTTGAACTCAATTATCTTCAAGTCAAATTCAAATATATGGTAAGCCAAATTCAAATAGCTCAATAGGCTCGGCTCATATACACTAGTTGTTGAGCCGATGATCCAACAGCTAATTGGGTCTTCGGACATTTTTGATTCAATTGATTGGTTTAACCGGCTAGCTGCCTGGTTGAACTACCAAACCCCGTCCGGATTCAACTTTTCTATAGCAAAGGTCCTTATCAAACAGGTTATTGCCAAAAACATTGCATGAGTGCCTGAAACCTGCAGGCCATACCAAACACCATTCCGGCGGTAAGTCAATCGTTCAAATTCATGATGGAAGTAGTGTGTCTTACCTGACAATAATATCTAAATAACAAAAATAATTCTAGCCAATGTTCAAAATATCGACATGTATCGATACGTATCAAAATATTAGCTGATATGTATCGTTCTGGGACCTCTCCGATATGTTCTTACAGTGGGTGTATCAGGGGTCTGACCGGTTCAGGGGGCGAAGGAGCTCTAAACCTGTTCTCCTGAACTGGTTTTGAAAAAAATAAAAAAAAAGTAACAAAAAAAGGTATATTACAGAATCCTAACAAACCAGAACTATATTACAGAATCCAAATCACTGTTCTATTTCTTTCTTTTTCCTTTTTTTTTTGCTAAGCAGCTATTACAACTGTTTTACAAAGTATTGGTACACTTGGATACAACGAAAGAGATGTATTGATATTTTGAACCCTACACTTGAAATGGGATTGCTTAAAATGTGCCTATCCTTAAAATGGGATTTGACCCCAAAAGACCTTTATTTTATGTATCAATTAACCACGGATATGATACAATACACCCATTACGATATAGAACATATTGTATCAAAATTTTAAACCTTACTTTTTTTCCCCAACCTCCATATTGCATTTTGAGCTTTAACGTAATTGGAAATCTGTACTGCAATTTATACATCACATGGGGCCATAGGGGGCTGCTTTTGAGAAACAGGAAGTGGAGGATAATTAAGTGGAGATGGGATTTCCTGAAAGTGCTCTCAGCGTGTTCACATGATTTTTGCTTTCAGATTGATGGTTGGTCTTTGTCATGGATGGATCTTGAATTCTTGATATACCTTTCTGTGGTGAAGAAAACTGATTGGGTCTTGGGAAAAGTAAATTATGTAATATATTTAATGAACCACACTGGGTTTTGCGTGCTGTGGATGACGAATGCCGATTGCCGGACTCAGAAATCATGGACTTGATAGCTCCAAAGAGGAGTATGTTATTGTTTCCCGGTGCCTTCAGGTTTCCTGAAGTTGGAAGCATAAGGTTTGAGGAATTAGAGGTTCCACAAGCCACCATTGCCTCTTCCTCTTAAATGCATATAAAAAGAAAGTACTCACACAGTTGATGATTAACTAATCTATGGTTAGTAGAACGTGAAATGTGCATTTAGTAAATGAATAAGTTGTTATATATATATATATATGTCCTTTGGTTATCACACTCGATAGTCCTTCAGAATGTTTCTTATTCTTTTAGCTTAATCAAAATGTGAATTCGTCATCATCAAAATATCACGAAGCGAATAAAATCCAAATCCTGTAGGTAGGGCTGCAGAAAACAACGAAATGCTTGAAATAAAATCCAATCGACACAACCAAGACTCAATTAAATTCTAAAAATGTAGGTTTGAGGTGGCAACCTCCTCCCCTAGTTAGCAGTGATGCGAAAGCAAGCCTTGCTAATGGTTTTTTCTCCCCTAGTGGTTGCGCCCCACCATGTGAGAAGCTAAATACAATTTCCTGGCACTCTGGCAGGGCTCAATACCCCCAAGCAAACCTTTGGAGTAAGCTCGGATCAAACAAAAACAACTCGACAATCAAAACCCACTCATCGCATGCAGACTGCAGAGGAAAAAGCTTCAAGTGGAACTACAGAAAAGTAACCATCATAGTTAGGTTGAGAACTAAAAATTTAATCCGATACAAGAGAAAAAAGAGTTATCTGAATACATCTATAATTCAAAGCAACCGAATATAAAAGAACCTTTTGGAAGTTAAAAATTAAAGTAATACAACGACGAAAGAAAAATTGGTGACTAGGTGAATAGCACGGAGTCCACATTGGATGCAAACAGAATTGACAACCACCCACTCCTACATTTCTTCAGACTAATCGTTTTTGCTAACCTCAGACAATTTTTAAATATCCCTATCAATGAATACAAAACAGTTTTAAGTTGGTACTGTAAGAGCTTTTCAATGAGGTGTCAGCCCAACTTACTGACAAATTTCCAGCAGGCACAACACCACACAGAATTTGGACACCCGTACAAAAAGAAGGGACAACATATCATAAGATCAAAGGCAGTCTGGCACAAATCTCCTCTTTTCTTCAGGTTAGGCAGAGCAACATCCTACTTTCTTCACAGCGGAGACATCATCCTTTGAGCCCACATTGATGGTTTGCCCTTTGGGCAAGGCAGCAGGGTCATCCCCGATGTCAAGAGCCTTCCTGCTAACAACACGGTATATCTGAGTGAGGACTTCTGTAAAGGCTTTCTCCACATTCATAGATTCCAAAGCAGATGTCTCCATGAAGAAGTTGTTCTCTCTCTCAGCAAAGGCCTTTGCATCTTCAGTTGAAACAGCTCGCAGGTGACGTAGATCAGCCTTGTTCCCCACAAGCATAATCACAATATTAGAATCTGTGTGATCCCTCAGCTCTTTCAACCATCTCTCCACATTCTCAAAAGTAACATGACGGGTGACATCATAGACAAGCAATGCACCAACAGCTCCTCGATAGTATGCACTTGTGATTGCACGGTATCTTCAGACAAGAAATTCAAATAAGGTGTCAATTATTCTGGACACTGTACAACTCAGTCCATGAGACATTTCACAGAGCACTACAACTTTTAAAGACTGTTAAAGGATCTTAAAAGCTTGAAGAACCATGAGGATGACTAGAACTGAAGAATATTTGACTGCATGCTATGCCAAAAAGAGGGGAACTGAATTGTCACTAGACCCAACAAGAACTACTTCATTTCTCTCCTTGTCATGCAAAAAATTATCAACCATAAAAGAAAAAGGGTTACTCAGGGGAAATAAACTTACCCACCTTAAATCCTGCAAGGAGTATTTGAAATTATAATCATATCTAATGAAAGCATAAAACACTGCACAAAGATATAGACAAATGCGTATCTCTGAAACAATGCCATGGAGAATAGGCTCAGCAATTTCTGGCTTAACCAATCCAATTTACAACAAAGCACAACAGTAGGGTTGGCCCCATATACAATCCCACCCTATAACCCACCCACCCCCCGTGCCAGCAAGGCAGACAGTAGTTTATCTTCTAACCCATCAATACAAGGTGTTGTGTACTGTGATCTTCCACCCCCACCCTATAACTTCCCTCTTTGCCAGCAAGGCAGAAAGAATGCAGTTTATCTTCTAACCCATCAATACAAGGTTTTGTATATTGTGATCTTCCACCCCCACCCTGTAACTCCCCTCTTTGTCAGCAAGGCAGAAAGAAAGTAATTTATCTTCTAACCCATTAGTACAAGGTGCTGTATATTGTGTTCCAACCCCACCCTATTTTATTTGTCCTATTTTACTAAGAGATCCACTTAACCTTGTCCCCACAAATAAACTTCAAAATTTTCGGATGTAAAATGCAATAAAGTATCTGTTTTTTGGCTAACTGCAGGTAAGTATCTGTTGGTGCATAGCATTTCGCTTTGGACAACCAATCAATATGTACCAAATACAATAAAACAGCCATGCATAAATAACAGACATGTATAAATATGCCTATGTAGCTATAAAATCAGCGTCTCTTTTAAACAACATTTTTATGCATGCTAGATCCATTTCTTTTCTAATTTCACATGATAAAGTATGTCACAATTATTATTTACAATGAAAGACTATTAAATTATCCCACCAGTATCAGAATAAACATATTTAATGTTTTATATATCCAGGTGAGATACAAGGAATGGAAATTACTGATCAGGAAAGAAGGAACAGAAACGTAGGCCATAGATCTACATACTGGGTTTAAACAGTTACATAAACAACTTGTAAAACTTCTTTCCTATTATGTTTCCATGAACTTCAACCTATCCAAGCAAGCAGAAAATGGAACTCATAATTACAAGCATAGCATGGTAAACAATTTGTTTGAGAACAAGTACTGTGTGCCAGTATCTTCAGCAAAAATGATTATTCAAATGGAGCCAAATAAATGGAAAAAGCTATAATTTTACATAGACCTTAATATAAAAATTTTCTAGAATCATGCACAGGGTTGATCAAAATCAACAAAAAACTAGAGGTAGAGACACAGAAAGGTTTGATGGCTAAAGTTCGTTTCCATAGTAGATCTTCAAGTCTAGTAGAATCCTTCCTTATCAATTATTAAGTATGCTACTAGTTAAAGGTAAAAAAAATAAAAACCACTTCAGCTAAATCTAAACATGCTGGCAAAAATTATTAAAATAGATTATTATCTTGCAGAAGCAATTTGATAAATGCAGATTGAAACCTGTTCATGCTGCATTGCCAAAACTCAAAAGTACCAAGAGAAAGATGAGATTTCTACAGATAGCATATCAGTGCATTGATGGTGACCTCAATTTTAAATCAAGCATGATTAAAGCTGATATGCATGCTTTGCTAAAAATTTCCAAGATCAATATTCAGCATATAATGTGATGTTTATTAGAACCTCAAAGAACAAATGACAAAAATGTTGGATAGCGACATACATAACATACTATGCCACTTTCTTGATGAACCAACCAACAGGAAAGATGATCATGCAACCTAGAAGTGACTGACCCAGTGCAAGAACCGCAACCAGAAGCAAGACCAGAAAGCATAATGTAGTCACCACCAGATAGAGGGCTCTTATGATTAGAAGCCAACCATGTTCCAAGAATAGGTGAAATTATAAAATGGATCTTCCGAAGTAATCCTCTCCAAAGAGCTATGAATTGTTGATGTTCCAAAAACAGCTATTCTATGGGTTACAGTCTCCTAGAAATGCTATTCCAGAGATCTACTTGAGCGCTTTTAGGAAACAAGATAAATGGTGAGGAAATGGAATAGACTCTTACAAGGGAGACAGCATCATTCTCCATTTCTCATATCTACAACCCATGACATGCAACAACACCTTCCTATTCATGACATTAATAGCTAAATACTTTGCATTGTTTAATTTCTTTTGAAGGTGTAACTATCCATCAGGACATCATATAAGCATCAGACATCAGTACTGGAAACAAAAGCAAAATGTCCTCACCAACCTATCCCCTATGATAGAGACAATGTCCTCACTAAACCTTGAAGAAGCCATAATATGAATAGTTTTAACAGCATAGTTTGCTTCTTTTTCGTTCAGGTTAATTGGGTATTACAAAGAAAAATTAATTTCACCATATTTACAAACGTTAGATAGTCAACGACATTCTAAACTAATGCTAGCGTTTATAGAAAGCAATAGATTAGACATTTTCTTACGCATTACGGAATGAACAATTGCAAAGTCAAATTTTACAACGTAGCATCTTCAAACCATGATCCTAACACAATGTAGTCACTACGTTCTGCATTCCTCAAAAATATAAGATCTAGCTCATTAGATCTGACAAGAAAAGGTCATTTATAAAAAAAATTCGAGAATTTTGGGAAAATTCAACAGTACTAACAAGAATACCAGGAAAGAAAGGTCAACGGATGACGAAAATAAATCCAATTCAATTTGGCAAAGCATTTTCCCGTCGATCTCAGAAATGATTCCAGAATATACAACGAAATCGACACTTGTCTTATGTAACCAATGCATGGAATTTTGGAGAAAAACAAACAGCACAAACATTATAAAAGAAACCAGTAGTTGCACTGCCAATTGAATTCCCCGTCATCGATCTGGAAAACAACACTTAAAACAATCTCTGAATGCTGGTGATCTAGAAACCCTAAAATTGGGGATTTAACAGGCTAAACAAAAAGGACAGAAGTCCAGATCGAAAACAACGGAAGATCTACATAACCATAAGCAGAATTTTAAATAAAAAAGAAATAAAATCAAGAAGACAACACAGAGATGCGAAAAGGATAAATGACCAAACCTTTCTTGTCCGGCGGTATCCCAAATCTGCGCCTTGACAACCTTATCATCAACGTGAATGCTCCGGGTAGCAAATTCAACACCAATCGTGGATTTGGATTCAAGGCTGAACTCGTTGCGGGTGAATCTGGAGAGGAGGTTGGATTTCCCGACACCTGAATCTCCGATCAAAACGACCTTGAACAGGTAATCGTAATCGTCGTCGGCTCTGTATGCCGCCATTTTCTGTCGGATCCTTTCTCCGATAGAGATAGAGAGAAAGAAAGAGAGAGAAATGCGAGCTTTCACAGATCAAAATACGGGCTTTACAATCTCTCTTTTAACAGGTGTCTCTCTTCGTCGCTGCCATCATCAACATTTCTGAAGAGAGAGAAAGAATGAAGAGGGAGAGAGAGAGAGAGGGAGAGGGGAGAGGAACGAAGGAAGTTGAAGGAGTCCTTGGAGCGAGCACGGGCTTTAAAAGGCTTTGGAATAATTTTTCATAAAAGGAGCGAGGAGAAAACGAGAATGAGAGAGAGAGAATAGAAAAATATTAGATTGCGAAAATTCCCTATTTCGCACGAAATTGAAAATTCCCTCCTTCCTTTTTCTAAATTGAGTCCGGAATCCGGATCTGGTCCAAAAGACGCTCCCAACAGCGTCCCAATAACCAATTGCAGCCGTACATCGGGTACATGAAGTACAATGAAGATGTTCCTAATTCACGACTGCAATGGGTTTATGGGACCGTGTGTTGGGACTAGATCTGGGAGGAGACTTATCTTTAATTACCGAAAACGTACTTTGTCTTCGTGGGACAAATGAGAAGGCGACACCCGTTCTTTTCAAGGGCATTATGGTCAATGTAGTCATCATCTTCCTTTATTGACCCTAATTACCTGGTCAGGTCTCGTTTGGCGTCCTTATCCTGTATTCCGTGGTAAAAATGTCTTCCGAATTCCTACTGTTTTCTAGAATACGAGCCGCAGATTGACCCGGTCCAAGTTTTCCGATTTAAACCATTGGGTTTATTTTGGTCGGCCGGACGATGACATTTTAATTAGATTATATGATTTATATCTCCACTTGGGGCCGTTGGATATTTAAATAATTTCTACGCCCCATATATGGTTTATTTCCCCTGTTTTTTTTTTTTTTTTTTTTTTTATCTTGTTGTTTTTGTTGTAACGAAATGAAATTGCCTAAGGCTTAAAAAAAGATAATTTATTATGAAACTTTCAATAGTTTTATGAATTTATTAAAATCTATCCTATAATTTGTATGTTATTATAGGGCAAGTCTCTTAAAGTATTTTGGAAATTGACTAACTCAACTCTTATCATTTAGAAATTATCATGAAGTACCCTAAGTTTTTTTTGACAATTGATTAAATCTTTCTTGTTATTAGTGTCTGTTAACGTTTTATCACAATCTGTTCACATGTAACAGGTAACACAGAGAATTTTTTTAAACCCAACATTAACTTTTACTTAGTTAATTATCAAGAACACAAAAGGGAATTTCTAAACATTTGGACGATTTTGAAATTTTGAAAATTACCTGACCTCAGATTACATCTTTGTGATAGCAGAGGATGTTGGGCCTTCCTCTCTGGGTTCAATGGATTTTCTCTGTCTTCATGCTCTATGTTTTGCATATATTCTACAGATTGTTTTCTACCATTGCAAGCAACAAGTAAGGCTGAAGAATTGTATTCTTGATAAGGCTGCCAGCATTTCAATTGTTGATCTTGATGCCAAACAACTATCTTCATGTTTTGAATCTCATCAATGCCTGCATTCATACTAACAAAAGATCGTGTGTTGTTTATGGAAATAAATCAATCTGCATATGCAAGGCCTCAGAATTGCCAATACAACAAAGTTAACCAACTCATTCTGACTCACCAATGCGATGGAACTTGGTTGTGTTGAGACGTCTATTTTTTCGCCAAAGGAGGTACTTACAATTCAAAAAATTGCCCCAAGTCTCGAAGAGCATGAAGAGGATAGGCTGATATGGAGATCCACACAAAATGGAGAGTTCTCTGTGAAAGCGGGATATCATCACATGGCATTGGCGTGGCAGATATTGCATGGGGAGTTAGATAGTTCTCATATTCATCTCGGCTTATGGAAAAAAAAAAATATGAAAAACCTTCTATAGAGGGCGGGCTTTGGCAGTAATATGAAGCGCTATCTCATCTCAAGCGGCCTATCCCAAGTGTCCAGAGGTGGTGGAGAGTATCTATCATGTTCTGATTCAGCGCCCCTTTTTCCTAGGCAGTGTGGCTTGACTCCTAATAATGTTTCTCACCCTTCAATCTTTGCTTGGTTAGACAGATGGTTCAGCCCCTCATCAAGCCCAGTAGAGGGACGGGAAAGCTGGAGCCAAAACTTGGTCGTATCATGTTGGGAAATCTGGAAAGGTCGAAACAATCTAGTTTTCAAAAATGAAATGTCCTCTCCCATCCAAGTTGCACACAACATATCAAAATGGGTGCGTAGCGTGAGACCAGACCATATAAACCAAATAGTCGAACGCAAATGCTACAAAACTCCATGCAAATCTGCAGGGCTAGCGGAGCTCCTGGCAATCCGTCAAGGATGTTCAGGTTGCTACTATTTAGTGGGGGTTTAATTACTAAGGTCATCTTGGAATCAAACACTTTGGAAGCGATAAAAGCTTGTCATCTTCTCAAATTGAGTCTAAATATTGAAAGAATCCTTGCTATCCTTTATGTATATGGAGCTAGCTATAATTAAGATGGCATCATCGAAATCTAGCTTTTGGGTGGGAGATAATCCCACATTCCCACCTATTCACTTGTTAAGAAGTACTTGCAGCAACAAAGAAGGAGATGATCCTATCTATTTTTTGAATTGCAAATGATTTCATTGGACATCTCTGTTTCATGTGTTGAGTCAAGATTGAATGAGGAGGATAGGATGGAGTTGGAGAGGGAAGTTAAGAAGTACTTGCAGCAACAAAGAAGGAGATGATCCTATCTATTTTTTGAATTGCAAATGATTTCATTGGACATCTCTGTTTCATGTGTTGAGTCAAGATTGAATGAGGAGGATAGGATGGAGTTGGAGAGGGAAGTTACAAGTGAAGAGATTAAAGAAGCCTTGTTCCAAATGGACCTAAGGAAATCCCCTGGATCAGATGGTTTCCCAAACCTTTTTTTCTAGAAATTTTGGGGAATTGTGGGTGATGATATTGTCAGATTAGTAAAGAACTTCTTCCTTTCCAGGAGGCTTAATAAGGAGATGAATTTAACCTTCATAGCTATAATCCCAAAAGTCAAGAATCCAGAATTGCCAAACCAGTATAGGCCCATAAGTCTATGCAACACTGTTTATAAGATAATAGCAAAAGTCCTAGCAAATAGGATTAAGCCTATACTAAACAAACTAATTGGGACAAATCAAAGTGCTTTTCTTCTGGGGAGAGTTCTCCAAGATAATATCCTAATAGCTCATGAAGTAATTGATTTTATGAAGAAATCCAAATGGAAGAAAAAAAATTGATGCCAGTGAAATTGGATATGATCAGTAAAGCATATGATAGGGTAGAGTGGGAATTCCTCAAACAAGAAATGGTAAAATTAGGGTTTGGAAGAACTTGGATTGATTGGATAATGGAATGTGTTTCCTCTGTCTCATACAAAATCCTAATCAATGGGTCCCCAAGTAAAACTATCTACCCTAGTAGAGGCTTGAGACAAGGAAACCCCCTGTCTCCCTATTTTTTCCTATCGGTCTCAGAAGTTTTCTCTTCTCAATTGAATAGGTTGGTGAATGCTAAACAGCTGTCAGAAATCAAAATTAATCGGGATTGTCCTGTGATCTCTCATTTATTTGTTGCAGATGACAGCTACCTCTTTTCAAAAGCTGATCCAACTGAAGGACAAATTCTGCTGAAAACTATCAAAAAATATGAACAAGCTTCGAGTCAATAGGTGAACTTGTCAATATCTGAGGTTTTCTTTAGTGCAAATATGCACCCTAAATTGCAGAAAATGTTAGCTAGAACTTTGGGTATGTAGAAAGTTGAATATCCATCAATCTACTTAGGTTTACATACATAAATTGGGAAATTAAAGAAAACCTTATTTGGGCACTTAGTTGAAAGAGTGGAAAGCAAGATAGAATGTTAGCAAGATCTTCCCCTCTCTCAAGCCGGAAAGGAAACATTAATTAAATCAGTGGTTAATTCCATTTCTGTTTTACTCAATGTTATGCTTTCTAATCCCCAAAACTATTTGTAACCAATTGTCTAAATTGAAGAGAGTTTTGGTGGAACGATGAAAAATAAAAAAAGGAAGATTCATTGGGTTAGTTGGGCCACAACTTGTAGGAATAAATTGGATGGAGGAAGAGGTTTTAGGGAACCTCATTTGTTTAACCTTGTACAGATGAAGAGAGCTTGTGGGTAAAGGTGATTAAAGCAAGATACTTAAAAGGGAGAAATTTTCTAAATGATCCTTTGCCCTCTAGGGGCTCTTGGGGGTGAAAGAGTGTATTGGCTGCTAGGGAGATTATAGAGAGAGGTGCATGTTGGTCAGTAAATATTAGTTCAAATATTAAAATATGGGAAGACCTTTGGCTTTCGGACGTCCCAGGTTTTAGAATTCAGGGCCTAAGAACCCAAAAGGAAAACATCAGGGTAGTTAAAGACTTAATGACTGCTTCGAGGAGAACTTGGAACGAGAGTCTAATAAGAAATAACTTCAGTGAGGTGATAGCAAGCCATATCCTCAGCATTCCTTCAGCAACAGGTGAGTGGAAAGACAGGTTAAACTGGACCTTGAGTATGAATGGAAAATTTACAGTAAAGTTTGCATAGTTCACAACTAAACAAATAGAGCAGGAAATTTCAAATAATTAGGTAAGCACTAGAAGAGCAATATCTTTTCTATAAAAACCACTGGAAAGCTCTTTGGAAAATGAACATTGATCCCAAAATTAAAATTTTCTTGTGGAAATCTTGTTGGAATGCTCTAGCAGTAAAAGAAAATTTGAGGAAGAAGTCCATAGGAGATTCAAACTTATGCCCAATTTGCTAGAAAGAGAGTGAGTCAATAATTCACTCCCTTTTGTTGTGTGATCATGCAAAAGCAGTCTGGTTTGCGAGTTCTCTTAATTTGAAATTTGATACCTTCAGATCTTTTGAGTCATGGTTTAAATGGTGGATTGAAGTACGTAAAAATCAAAGTGGTAAAGAAAACAATATGTTGTCTATATCGATAATAATCTTATGGTCAATTTGGAAAAGCAGAAATGCTTTTATATTTGAGAATGTTTCAGTTAATCCTGTTGCACCTCTAATTATTATTAACGGGATGATAAAGGAGAGGAGATTGACTTCCCAACAAGGATGGCAGCATTATTCTCCAGTTCTTGATCAGAGGTCGAAGTCCTTTTTTTGGTCTCCCCCAACAGCTAGGGTCCTGAAGATAAATGTCGATGGAAGTTTTGTTTCAAAAGGTAAGGCAGGTTTTGGGGTGGTTG